TCCCGGTACGATCCTTCCTTACTCTCATCCTAAGCATCGAGGACAATGCTTAATTTTAAGCTCAGGGTGAGGTATTCTTTATCTTTTATTTTTGATTGAATTTAGGTTGTTTATAGTTGCATTTAGAGTAAGTCATTTAGGTCATTCATAAAAATTGCAAAAAAAAAAAATTTCAAAAATATTGCATATTTTATTTCTTTCTTTTCTAATTTTCATACTTTTTAGATGCATTCTAGTTTAATTCATGCATTTTGTTCTCTCTTGTCTTCTCATCCCTACAGGTACCATAGCGTTGAGTCATAAGTATTGAATCATAGATTGGTCCCGGGTCTTGATATGGAATTCCTTGTATTCGATAAATGAGACACGTTTTGAGCCTCACATACCACTTTGAGACCGCTTGTGTGGGGGTCAGATGCATGTAGCTTGATTGGGTCTAGGTGCGGAGGGATGTGGTTGGTCATGCCAATGTGTGCGAGCAACGTAGCCCGATAAGGTATTTTGAAGACATTGAAGATATTGAATACTCGCATCTTGGTTTTGGGGGGAGTACCCCTTAGTACTCCCGAGTCTCGTCCGAGCCTTACTTAGCTAGATTCTCACCAGCTTTTTAAGATAGGTTATCCTTTTTCTAGGGATCTAGAGTAGATAATTAGATAGATTTTTTTATCACACCTTGCATTGAGGTGCTTGATGAACTTTGAAGTGGGTCCCCCAATTCACATCTTTTGGGACCAAGTCTTTTCGGTAACACCCATTTTTGAGTCATTCCCACCCTTTTAGTTGATCTGGCACATCGTCAATGATCATTAGGGTTCATGTTAGCCTCAATTCCTATGTTACATGGTGAAATTCCTTAGACCTTCAAAGAAGAAAACACAAAAAAATGGAAGAAATTGGAAAAGTGAAGAAAAAAAAAGAAACAATGAAGAATTAAAGAAAAGCAACAAAAAACAAAGAGAAAAATGAAAGAAAAAGAGCAACACAAAAAGAAGAACAAGAATCCAAGTTCAAGGCTTTAGTTCTTAAAAAAAATGAAGATTTAAGAAGACTGAATATCAAGCAACAAAGAGGCTGAAGACCAAATAACAAAAGTTCAAGATTGAAGATTTAAACTGTTAGGTTTAGATTTAGGTTAAGTAAAATTTTTATTATTTTATTTTATTTTTGATTTTTGGTGAGAAAATGCCTTGACGATGAGACTGTAGAATGTAAAGGACAGTACAAGGGATAAGCCTCTGAAACCGGATGTTTTCCCGGAGGCCATGCTGCAAAACCCTATTTCGTACTATACACTTTAACCTGACAAATGTAGGAATCATAGTGTGTGAAGGGGCGCCTTTCCTTCGTGCATTATGATCTGCATTGGTGATTTAAAGTGCCCCCACTAGGCGCATCTCTGTTTCCTTTGTCTTGCACACCGCGACTACATCCAGCCATGATCTATTCGCCCATCAAGTGGTTAAGAATGTGGTTTATGGCTCTAAAGCGGGGAACATTTTGAAGATGCGTAAGGTCCATGAAAGACTAATTCTGATCATGTGGACTGATGTTGACCAAGTTCTATGGTATCTTTCTTTTTCCTTTTTAGTTTAGCTCATCCCGAGCTCATTTTAGTTTCGTTCTAACTTGAGGACAAGTTAGGTTTAAGCTTGGGGTGATTTGATAGCTTATTTTATTTCCTTATTTTTATTAGTTTATTTTAGATTTTTAACTCTTTTTATTAATATTGCATTATATATTCTTTATTTTCTTTATCATGGATCGTATCGGGGACTTTTTATTTTGCATGAGGAATCTTGGCATATCATGCTTCATGATTGCTATAACCATTTGGGATGAATGATAAGCTTCATGTTGAATCTAAGGATAACACACACAAATGTTCTTGTGTTGAATTGCCTTGTTAACCAATTCTCACCAATATTTGCGCATTCATCATCTGCTTAATTGCAAGCTTTTTAGTTATTCAAGTCTTTTAGTTTTCAATCAATCACAACACCCCCCCCCCCCTTTAGTTTAATTGTAGTTAGTTAGTTAGTTTATTTACACTAGTTCTATTAGATTGCATTAGTAATTGAATACAACCATTTCCCCGAGGATCGATACCCCTTTTAACCATTATATTACATTTTATTTGCAAACAAAGGGTGTAATTTGCTTGGTGGACTTGACATCCCACCAGCAGGGAAGTCCATGTGAGGCAAAAGAAATTCCACCGAATAGTTACCTCTCTAATATCATGCTATTTCATTTGTGTTGCTTTGCTTTATGTTAATTTCTTCCTAGGTTACATTGAAATCATCATAAATATTCATATAGTTCTTTCAACAATCCCAACCCAAACACTTTTATTATTGATTGTGAAAAGGTTGTATCATAGTAAGTATATAAGCAATCAAGTTGGAAAGTCCTAATTTGTGCTCGAAAACATAATTGACTTTTTCCAAATCCTAGCATATTTTGCATGTAAATTGTTCAAATGTTTTCGGGGCACCTGTACACCCCTTGATAGGGTGTATTTGAAACCATACTTAAGAAAAATAGTTTTGGGAATTTCCCAAAACTTCATAGTTTATGTTTGCAAAAAAGCATTTTGGTCCAAAAATAGTACACTTAATCAAGTTTAGAATTTAGCGAGGTTGTTAACAATAAACATATCAAAACAGGGTTCATTCTCACCACGCAGTTCGTGGCATTCTAAAAGTACAAGACAATTTCTAAACCAAGCTAGCGTCTTCAATTTGAATACACAACAAAATAAATTAGACAATGAGTTTGACTAGTGAGTTACCCGATGGTTGATTCATTTAAGAGTAAGGGACGACAAACCAACTAACACAAATCGATCCATAAATAAAACAATAAAAAACACAGAAACACTTAGGTTCAATAACCCCAAATCAAAACAAAAGACCGAACCAATCTATCCAAACGAAAACCCCTAATTTCAACATGTTTATCTTAGCTAACATTTCTTTAATTATACTTATATGAGTTATTATAGACAAACAAGCTTCAATAGCTCACTTATTCAAGTAGTTTTGTCAGGCATCTGTTTGCATTTTCTTTTAAGTAGTTGTCATTCTAGAAATAATTTATGAGTGACCCATCTCTAACAGACGATATGGCCCAATACCACCCCCACTCCCAGAATATTTATTGTGGATTTCAAGAGCGGATTTCGGCTAATTTCCACTTCAATTTTTCCAAGGACTTACATGATACCAAGACACAACAAAACAACTTCAGAAATATTTGGTAGCCTATAGAAGGTATAAAATAAATTTGTATAGTCCTGAATCGTATTAGAGAAAAGTAAGCTTGTGTTACTCAAATACTAACATTTGACAAAACACATAGCCACACGAGCGAAAGTGACCGGAAGAGACGACATCCTACAATGTTTTAAAACAGGGGATGACCTGGTCGATCGAACCGATTGAACCATGAACCGGTGAAGAGATCAGATCAACTAAGAGCGGGTTTTTGTCTATTCATGAACCGGGTGGTTTTACCATAAAAGCATTGAACTCGTGTTGACCCCACCCATTATAAAAACCTGGTTTAAACCTAGTTAAAAAACAATGTTACGACGTTACATATTTATATTTATATATTACTTTCATAAAGGATTGTACATATACATAACTTATATTTAAAAAATGTTATGAAACAAAACATCAAATGATTTTGATTTAATATTCGATTGTCTTTTATTTTGATTTACCATATCTTATGTCAACATTGAGCCCAATGTTCATTGTTCGCATCAATCTTTTCATGTTAAGTAAAAACTTTATTAAATTTGCATATTTTATTTTAGTAAATAGTGGAGATTTTATGGATTCAAAATGTTAGGTATATTTCAACTCGAAAGCATCTTGACATTCAATAGGGATAAGTCTTGTACTTTTTGAACTAATACTACAACTTTTTTTTGTCTTGAAGAACTCCAAAATAATAACTCATATTTGAAAGATTTTCAATAGTTTGAAGGTCCATTAGGACATACACCCTTACGTATGGTAGCTATAGAATATTTTATAAACCGGGTTGACCCGGTGGTTCAACTGGTTGACCCGTGAGCTGTGCGTCACATCGGGTCAATTAAAAAGTCGGGTTTTAAAATATTAACATATTATCCTCCCTAATAAATGAAAATAATTTTGTCACTTGTCAAATTTTTATGCATTATGTCACATGTCATTTTGTGATAAATTTAGATTAAATTATATTCATCGTGTGTCATTTTGTGGTTTTTTTTTCCATTTTATTAAATTTCATATAATACTTAAATGTAATAAATGTAATAATAAATGTATATCAAATTCATTAATGCAACTTTCCTTACAATTTATAAATTTCATATAATACTTCAATTTTAATAATTAACATTTTATTTTTTTCTTAAAAATTTAAATTTTCTAAATTGTCAGATATTAAGATATTAATGTTTGTATACTTTTTTTAAATAAACTCATATAATACATGGGTCTCACAACTACTATAATTTAAAATGAAATTGCCATTTAAGATTGTAAAATAGTTGTGCAAATGTTTTTTACTTATAGAAGTTATATATCGTGTTGACTTCAATAATTTATTAGCAATTGTTATTCGAACTTTTTAAGTTACTAAACTAGTTGCTCATAAGGGTGTTACATCTCATGAATTGATCAAGACAAACTTCAAACAAGAATAAAATCTAGCATCATTTATGTGCTTTCTTGTTATCATCACTTAATCAAGACAAAATTTGATAAAATCTGATGTCATTTAGTATTCTTTTGAAGTTTCCAAAGTACATAGTTGTAACGAATGCTTGATGGATGTGTTTGTAATTTTATAATTGATTTCATTGGTGAGGTTAAAACCGAGATTCTTTTTAGATGTGTATGTTTATCTCGTTGTAGGAAATGAGTTCTATAAATGAGGTAACATTCACCAAGCCGAAATCATCACTAAAAACTTATAAAAGCAATAAGGTTATTGGTATCATGACTAAGATCAATAACAAAACAGTTGTGTGCATGCTTTTCATGATCTTCCTTTTTGCTGGTATCATGACAACCGAAGGCAGAACTGTTTCTCTTGGTAAGTCTATAACACTAATAAATAATCCATATGTGATCTAAAAGTTCCTAATCGTTAATTTTCCATTCTTTTCATCCTAAAACAAAGTGTAAGTTCGAACTAAGTTTATAAATTATAAGAAATGATAAATATAACTACTTATCATGTTATTTTCATCTTGGTGCTAAGGGCAATCATGTATCTCACTTAACCATAAAATATTTGGTTTTCAGGACCAACTCCTCTTTGTTCTTCTGTAGTTGGCGTAAAAACTGGTGATACATGTTTTGACATAGCTCAAAAGTTCAAGTTGAGTTCAGGATTATTTGACTTCATCAACCCGAATCTGAATTGCAAGAAGTTGTTTGTAGGCGAATGGATTTGTGTAGATGGAATATAACTTCAAAATGACGCTATGAATGATCCAACCAATAAAAGGATATGTGAAAACATTTATGCATGAAGGAACTAATATGCATGTATAAGTGATACACCATCAATAAAATAAACTTGCAATATCTTATTCTCGTTGGTTAATTATTTGGAGGTCTACTTATTGAATGTAAATTGAATTATTATAGGATTAAGACAAAGATCAAATAAGAATAAAATTTTGCATCATAACGTTTCTAAGTTTCCCAAAAATCCAAGTTCTTGACGAAACCTTACTAGATCTAGATGGTTGGTTTACCAAGTTAGTTCATTTTGGTGAATTCCGTACTTCGATACCTTGGCATCATCTCAACGAGCCTCTCCCACGTGGTATATTACATTTTTTTTATTAAACAACAAACTTTATAAAGGGACTAACAAGAAGCAAAATCCCAAAAAAGAAAACATGGCCAATTACCAAAGAGAAATCGCAATATCAAATCATATTCTCCAAGTCATCGAGTCTATTTTAAACACACCGGCCGGTCACTGATCAAATGCAATAGATAACACCGAGTCAAAGAAAGACTCCCTATTAGGTTTTACATCTTTAAAAACCATACAGGGTCGCCACAACCTGAACAACACCATCAAAGCAGCTTCTAGGATGACACATGAATTTGGAGTAATCCGCTAAATATTACTATATGGTTTGAAAAGACTCAAGATTGATTTCATTATGCATCGATCAAGAATATAAAAATACAAAGGAAAATAACTACAATACCGTTACACCATTATACAAGGAATGGCTATAAACGAATCACGGATAAAACATCCATAATGCAATGATGAACTGAATGAAGTTTAATAGGTTGATGTATCACCATTTCACTTTTTATATAACTCTACTATTCTTTTTCAACATTGAACAGTTTGGTAGTCTTTGAACTCCATATTCATGGAACAGCCAATATAACATCATTTCAGGGTTGAGGTATTGAATATCAAGTAGGCATTCCACCTCGTTCAACCATTTCATAAAACTAGGCATCGTGGATGCTATAAGTGTTGGAACTTTGTTAAATGAAAACTTTCTCCATGGGACTTGTCCCACATTGGAAGAAAGAGCAAACTTTTACTCCCTTAAAAAGCCTCCTACTAGTTGTTTACCAATTAGAAGAAAGGCTTGGACTAAAGGGATTGGGTTGGATTTGGTGATTGGGCTAATCAAAAGATTGGCCTTGGACCTTGGGGTCTCATTGACTAGTTACATTATTTTATATATATATTAATTCCGATTTTGACTTTTATTTTTATATTAAACAAATCTGTTAAATTCGTTTTAACTGTCTTGACAATTATTTTCGGTTTGCAGTTTTTGGAGGGAAAAACAGTCAATGTTTATCTATAAATAGATCACCAAAGACCAGATTTCGGGTTCAGAAAAATAACACACATATTCCTCATATAATTTCGTATTCCACAAACAATGAAGGGAACATAGTGAATTTCGTCAGAATCAAGAGAAGATCTTGATTGATTGTTGTATCCTCTTGACAGATCCCTACCAGGGAAATTTCTGTCTTAGGACACTACAAAGCAGGCCTCAATCTCTACAATTTTGTGATTGTATTTTCTGTGTAATCATCATACAAGTATGTTTTCAGTAAATTAATTCTTGTATATTATATATATTTGAATTTCGTTTGTTTTATTTCAATTAGTTTTGTTGATTGTACACTTTTGTAATAACAATCTAAGACAGAAATCAAAAAGTGGAAGAATGGATCAACAATCCATCATCAAAACACATGTGGAAAAGCCTGAGAAATTCAAAGGCTCAGATTTTACGGAGATGGCAATAGAAGATGTTGTTTTATTTGACAACTCTTCATGTTCCAATGTTCGCACTGATGATCTCTCTCCTCCTACCTGGTGTAACCACTGCAGAAGGAAGAGTAACACCACCCCTGCAGCCCAATTGGCAGAACACCAAAGGGCAGTGGAAACTTGGAACACAAATGAATATAATTGCAGAAATTATATTCTGAATGCCTTAGATGATTCCCTCTATGATATCTACTATACCATTCCTACTGCAAGAGAGGTATGGGAATCACTAAAAAAGAAATACAAAACAGAAGTGGCATGTTCCAAGAAATTCGTGATTGGAAAGTTCATGAATTTCAAGATGGTGGATACCAAATCTGTCCTCAAACAAGTGGAGGAAATTCAAGTCATTGCACATGATCTTGAAGTTGAAGGTATGGGTATAAACTCTAACTTTCTTGTTGGTTCAATCATTGAAAAATCCTCCTTCTTGGAAGAATTTCAAACTATATCTTAAGCACTTAACTGATGACATGAGTTTTGAGCAACTTGTGTTGAGAATTCGTGTGGAAGAAGATAACATATTGAATGAGAATGCAGATGCAAATTCCTTGGACACAAGTGCAAACTTTGTTGGAGAAGCAAGTACTTCAAGGACAAAGCACAACAACAAGAAAGGGAAGCAAGGCTCCAAAAACTCTTCCAAAGATGGAAAAAATCATGGCCCTAACAAGAAGAATTTCAAGAAGAATTCTAGTCCATGCTATGTTTGTGGAAAAATTGGACACAAGGCCAAAGATTGCAGATTCAGGAGGGGTCAAGGAGGAAACAATGGAGGAAATAATGGAGGAAACAATGGAGGGAACAATGGAAACAATGGTGGTAATTCTGGTGGAGGAAATTCTGGTCAAACCAACATCGTTGAATCACTAAATCAGTTTGTTGCTGTGATTCAAACCAACATGGTTAGCAATTGTGTGGATTGGTGGATTGATACTGGAGCCGCAAGGCACATTTGCAACTCTTGAACCATGTTTTCTACATACCTGAAAGTCTCAGATTCTGAACCAATGTTTATGGGGAATGGCTCTACTGCAAAAGTTGAAGGAAAGGGAAAAGTGAAGCTACAACTGACTTCTGAAAAAGAACTTGTTTTATGTGATGTATTGCATGTTCCTGAAATTACTAAGAATCTGATTTCTGGTCCTATTCTTAGTAACAAGGGATTCAAACTTGTATTTGAGCCTGATAAGTTTGTTCTCACCAAGGGTGGGTTGTATGTTGGAAAGGGATAACTTAGTGAGGGTCTCTTCAAAGTCAGTGTCTTACCTTTGTACTATGGTGTTGAAACACCAAACAATGATGTAACCAATGTTAATGCTAATGCAATAATGGGCACTACTAGCCCCTCTTCTATGTATTTGCACGATCCTTCATTTTTGTGGCATTCTCGATTGGGACATGTCAATTTTAGCTCTATTCAAAGAATGGCAAAAGTTGGCATGTTACCAAAATGTTCATTAGATAAAAACATAAAATGTGAGGTTTGTGTAGAATCAAATCAATTTTTCACAACATCCTCATAAATCAGTTGAAAAAATCTAATGAATACTTGGCTTAATCCACTCTGATTTATGTGATTTTAGAGCAACACCTACAAGAGGAGGAAAGAATTATTATATTTCCTTTATTGATGATTGCAGCAAGTATTGTTATATTTATTTGTTAAATACCAAGGATGAAGCCTTGAATCTTTAAGAATTACAAGGCTGAAGTTGAAAATCAACTTGACAAAAAGATCAAAATTCTAAGGTCTGATCGAGGAGGAGAATATGAATCCAAAGACTTTGCTGAATTAGTTCTTTAAATGGTATATTACATCAAACAACACTGCTCCATATACTCCTCAACAAATGGAGTGGCAGAAAGAAAGAAAAATAGAACATTTAAAAACATGATTAATTCAATGTTAATTACTTCTGGAGCACCACATAACTGTGGGGGAGAGCATGTCTTGCAGCAAATTCAATACTTAATAGAATTCCTCATAAAAGAGTGATAAATCACCCTATCATCTATGGAAAAGGAGGTTACCCTCTTATAAAAGGATGAAAGTGTGGGGTTGCCTTGCTAAGGTACAAGTACCTCTTCCTAAGAGGACTAAACTTGGACCAAAAACCATAGATTGCATCTATATTGGACCTGCCATGAATAGTGCAGCCTATAGGTTCTTGTGTATAAATCACATGTTGATGATATCCATAACCAAACCATCATGGAATCAGCAGAGGCTGAATTCTTTGAAAATATTTTTCCTTTTAAGGATAAAGGGAAAGAGGTTACCTGCTCTACGAAAAGACCTCTAGATGATGGACTGAATGATACCATTCCAGACAAAAGTTTACAATCAAATGAAGAGAATTCTTCTAAGGTTCAAGAAGAGAACTTAGAACCCAGAAGAAGCAAACGAGGCAAAATAGCCAAAGATTTTGGACCTGATTACATGACCTATGTACTGAATAAGGAACCGCAAACTTATAAGGATGCTATGGATTCTTCTGAAGCTCCCTTTTGGAAAGAGGCAATCAAAAGTGAGATTGATTCCATTATGCAGAATAACACTTGGAAATTGGTAGATTTGCCACCTGGGCAAAAACCAATTGGGCACAAATGGATATTCAAGAAGAAGTTTAGACGTGATGGTACCATTGAGAAGTACAAAGCTCGTTTAGTAGCTAACGGGTATCGTCAAAAAGAGGGTCAAGACTTCTTTGACACCTATTCACCTGTTACAAGAATTACATTAATTCACACATTAGTAGCAATTGCAGCCATTCACAATTTGGAAATACACCAAATGGATGTGAAAACTGCCTTCTTGTATGGTGAACTAGATGAAGAGATATGTATGAATCAACCTGAAGGGTTTGTGGTTAAGGGTCAAGAAAACAAAGTCTGTAAGTTAGTTAGATCACTTTATGGACTAAAACAGGCTCTAAAGCAATGGCATGAGAAGTTTGACAACACATTACTCTCTAATGGATTTAGAATTAATGAATGTGATAAATGTGTTTATGTCAAACAATACAAGAATTCTTGTGTCATCATATGCTTGTATGTGGATGATATGCTTATAATGGGTACTAATTTGGATGTGATCAATCAAACCAAGAAAATGCTACACTCCTCCTTTTC